TTCGCAAAAAATTTTGGGCCACAGAAATTTCTAGCTATACAGTATACATTAATAAAACGTACAATTGATTTTTGTTTCCTGTCACATGATAAAAGATAGACCACACCCATTCCATCCAAGCAGCTGTAATGACTTACTGGTACAAAAACCAGCATCACCTGGAACAACACACAAACATCATTAATAAAATAATATAATATGTGACCATAATTGACAAAAGGTACCTTATGGCGGATTTTAAATTTCATCATTATAATGAAAAATATCAACCTGACAGTGTGAGTGCTCTGCTAGTCAACAATTGTTTCTAAAAGTTACATAGTAACTTTTTGCATCCTCTGGAATAATTTTATGATAATTTGAGCTCAGGAAGTTTGATTTTTTAGGCTATAAAGACCAATTTTTCTATCCGCCATAAGGTACATTTTGTCAATTATGGTCACATATTATCATTTTACCTATTATACTGTATTAAAATAATAATATACACACATTAACTGACTGACTGTGTTTATTATTAGGAGAAGAGACTGGAAAGGTGAAGTGGTACAGTGATAGAGTACTCCTCACTAAACCATCAGCAGGTCAATGTCAGGAAGTGATCAGTCAATTAATGGACAGTCATCAGAACATTTACCTCAATCACTCATCACCTGATATTGTATACCTACTGATGTCACTAGCACTAGACATAAGAACAATAAAGAGGATTAATATAAGAAACACTAAAATAACAAAAGATGTCATCCTCTTACTGTCACACAAAATAACAAACAATACTTCATTAGAGACACTATGGATCATTTATGATTCCATCAATGATGATGGAGTCATTGCACTAACACAATCATTAATTAATAATAAAACAATTACTATCTTAGATCTTAGTATCAATCCTGACATCACTTCAACCAGTGCTCAGTCACTAGCTGAACTTTTACTCTACAACCACACACTATCTTACCTTGAGCTCGACGGTACTAACATTGATACTGATGGAGTACTGGTACTGATGGAATCTCTCTCAACCAATAATACACTAAGGAGACTATGTCTAGACAGGAAACATAAACAAACTTGTTCTTCTTTACCTTATTATAAAACTATTGAAAACAGATTACACTTTGTGTAATTATTTCATATACATGTGTTAGTTTATTAATAAATGAAAAATTTATTAATATTAAATGAAAAAAATAATTTTAAACTGTACATACTCCCAGATTGAACAAACAGACAGAGACACAGAGAGAGAGAGAGAGAGAGAGAGGGAGGGAGGGAGGTGGAGGGAGGGAGGCAGATAGATGGACAGACAGACAGACAGAGACACAGAAAAAAGACACAAAGAGAGAGAGAGGGAGGGAGGGAGGGAGGCAGAGAGAAGGACGGACAGACAGACAGAGACACAGAGAAAAAGACACAAAGAGAGAAAGAGAGAG